TAATGAATGTTTTAGATGTTCTTGGATGTTGATGGATATTTATATATGATGATATTTTGTATTTGTGACTTAATTTTATTCATATTTATGTCTTTTATTAACAATTTCATTGATTTATTTTTATTTTTTTAATAAAAATATGAGAAATATTAAAAAGAAAGTATTTTTTTAAACGTGTCAAAAGCCCGCAGGCTGATCCTAAGCCCTATAGCTTAAGAGCCGAACCTAGCAAATTGGGGTATTTTTGAAATTTCAACCTTGGAGGGTAGGCTCTTTTAAGCCTGCCAGCCTTAAGGGTCGGCCCTGATTCCCACCTCTGTTTGTAATGTATGAATGTCACTAATCATACTTTTTAATTCTAAATATAATATCCTTTTAACTAATTTTAGAAATTTCTTTTAAAAAGTATGTACATTGGTTATTTGTAATTGATTTATGGAGAATTCGTGACCCTTTTTGAAAAACAACCTTATCATTTAATCATTAAAATTTAGTAGTTAGAGATAAAAATCTCCTAATAAATATGGATAGTGTAGGAAAAAAGATTTGATATGAAAGATAAGAAAGAATAATGATGGGTGGTTTTTTCAATTAAATAAAAACTTATTAATTGAACAATAAAAATTAATTCTTAATCAATCCCTTAGTTTGATAGAGTAATTATAGATGGCAAGAGAGAGCAATTTTAAGGACAATATTTACATTAAGTTTCTTAAAATTTATTCTGTCAAGTTTTTTAATGAGAGAATTATAATTAAGTTCTAAGAAAGAGATTTAATTAAATTGACAAATGAAGAGTAAACAATGACAAGTTCTAGACTAGGGAATGATAACCAGCTCAAACTAATCACTTGTGATTAAAATTTTTTCTTTAGAAATATTAATATTTAGTATGATTTAGTTATAAAAATTTTAATCTGGTAATCTTAATGTGATACTTCATAATAAAAAAATTCAACTCTGATTCGTCTATTTATATCTGCCGTGCTTTTTTGAATTATTATTAGTATTGTGAATTCAATACAATGACAGACGTACCGTTTGTTAGAAACAGAAGAACAATTACATTTTTTTTGGATAAGAAAAGAACAATTATTGAAAAGTCCAAGGGACACGAATCACCAAGTAATTTTATTTTATTTTAATAAAACAATTTTTTAAAAACTCTGATTCAAAATTCAAACGCGAGGTCGTGATTATAATAATACTCTGAGGATGGCAGGCAATGTAAGTTGCCGTATTGCATTTCAGCCAATGACATTTAAGATTCCTTTTTTTTTTTTTGCCGAATAGATTCTTTCTTTTTTTGGGTCAAAGACGATTCAGATTCACTCGCAATCAAGTGAAATGAAATGCCAATCATTAGCTTCTAATTTTAATTAAAAATTAGGAGGGAAAGGTCCAAAAAAAATCGACTGAAATTGACCAAATATAATAAACGCTTTATTTTTTTTTCCAAATACACTCTTATTAACAGAGAGAGTGATGGAGAAGAAAATGAGTGAGAAACTGTTATAATTAGTACAAACATATTTGGTTAAAAAAAATGCAAAGACATATAATCAATTAAGAGTAAAAATAAGGGCATTAAAATTTTAGAAATCTCTTACATTTAAGCTATAAAAAGGATTGCAGGAGTATAATTTTTATTTTTCTCTTAAATACAAGTTCAGTTTCAGATTTTACGATAAGGTTTAAAATAATGTAGAATTGAATTCATGATAAATATAAAAAAATAATTCTTAAACAATACATAAATTTTGTTTTTAAGTTTGCATTTTTTTGAGAAAATAAGGGAACATTTCTTTATTCAAAATTTTATTGATGAAAGGAATCTAAATCAGAATATAGGTATTTCATAAATACAAAATTTATAAAATATTAATACTTTTTGTGTACAAAAATTTATCTAAAAAAAGCTTTTACTATGAGACTTTTTTCCCTTCAATTTTTTTTTTTCTAACAATGATAAGTAAATAATCACGTACACGATTCAAAAAGTGGGAAGAAAGCTACCTGTCATACAAGGAATCATTCTCTGAATGGCTTTTAAACCAGTTTCGTTTCTCTCTCTTTTAAACTTGTTTTTTTAACTTTAAACCATCTCAACGTATACAAGCAGGTTTTGACCCTAAACTAATTCAGATGAAACCAAAAACTTGAACCATTAATCTTCTAGTTATAGGTAATGTATTAAACGTTGGGATCTTTATAGAAAATAAGAAGGACATACACACACACCAAAATATCTTACTCCTCCAGTCCTTAATATATAATTCAATTATTGAATTAGTTTTATCTCAAATATAAGACCTATTTATCATATTTATCAATTTTCTTTAAATTGTCTTTATGGATACTCCCTCGACCATAATTAAGTAGAAAAGAAAGATGGGGTATTAAGAAAAATGATTATGGTATTTTAGAAAAAACTGTCACATTTCTTATAATTAACTAACTTACCTAACTTTCTTAATCTAATCAAATTAGTTAAATAGATCTTATATTAAAAACCAGAAGAGTATATCTTTAATGAGTGTCTTTGAAAAAATTGAGAGAAAAATATGATTAATAAAATGAATTAATCTGATATCTTTGATAAATAAAAATGATTTTGTGTGCATTCTTATTTTTCTGAATATATGAATGCATCATTTGGTATATTCTAAGACGATGCTTTCTTCTTCTTCCTTTTTCCCCCAACTATTCTAAGACGTTGCCTGAACCTCGGTAGTGAAAACAGCTTTGTAAAAACACTTTGTCGGCTAACACTTTACAAGATGCACGTATGTTGAAAAAAAGTTCCTACTCTTAAAGGTAGAATCCAGCTTTAGCATGTGGCTACCCTCAAAGGGTGAAAATAAATGAATGAATGAATAAAAAGAAAGGGGCAAAATTTAATATGTTTGTGTACCTCTTGGAAAAAGAAGAGTATTTGAGACTCTTTTGTTACTTTAACACTTTATTCTTAATGAAACAAAGCAGCAATTAATAAGTCATTACTATGTGTTGTACTAAGTACAATCCCCCTTCTCCTCTTTTTCATTACTAAAACAAATATAATTAATAAAAATATTTTTAAAAAAATACTCCCTCCGTTCCTTATTATAAGAGACGAATAACCGAATTACGTTGATAAAAAAAACAGTTAAAATTAGTTAAGAACAATGAATGTGTAAAAAGTATAATTTTTTTTCCAAAAATACCCTCATTGATAAGGAGAGAGAGCATGAGAGAGAACAATAGTAAATTCTTAAAAGAAAGAGAAGTGGGAAGGAGAGAGAGTATGAGTTGGAGACAATAAATATGGGTAAAATAGGAAATCAACACAAAAAAGTAGAGACAACTTTTAAGTGTCTCTTATATTTAGGAACATGCTATAAGCATCAAATGTCTCTTATAATAAGGAACGGAGGGAGTAATATATTCTTCCGATCCTTAATATAAGACCTATTTAATTAATTTAATTAGATTAAGCAAGTTAGGTAAGTTAGTTAATTATAAGAAAAGTGACACATTTTTCTTAAAACACCATAATCGCCTTTTTTAATACCTCCTCTTCCTCTTCTATTTGATTATAGTTGAGGGAGTATCCATATGGGTAATTTAGAGAAAATCGATAAATATGAGAAATGAGTCTTATATTTAGGATCAAAACCAACTCAAAAATTGAGTCCTTATATTAAGGACCGGAAGAGTATCTATTTATTACAAATTACTAACTTTCTTAATCTTCCTAAATTGGTTGACTAATAAAAAGCAGACATAGTATTACATATTCTCATTTGTTATACTTGTCGTTAACAAGTCATTAGTTGTAGTGATAGTTTGAGCTTTATTGGTTTCTTTATAGGTAAGGGGCAAATTTTAAAAGCTATAAACAATACTTCCTTCGGTCCTAAATGTAAATGAATCTTCCATTTAAGATCGAAAAAGTTTTTTTTTTTTTTTATATCATCTATAAAGAAATAGTATAACTTGAAGTTTGAGAAATCAACAGCAATATTTTTTATTCATAGACAGTGTGCTTTCTATTCTCATGCACATGTGTAAGCTTGTGTGCTTTACTTGATGCAGTCTTAATTGAAACTTGAAAGGCTTTTTCTCAGGCAGGGCTCACATAACACATTATGATCATCATAATCATCAATATATTCATAAAAATTGCCCTCAGCCGCATTTAAGCTATAGCATTAACAAGTTAACTTGTATGAAATCCCAAATTTAAATCTAATGTTACGTGCATGAATATTTAAATTATTTGTAATAAAAAAAATCAAGTTAACGGATTTTAAAAAATGCAATGGACCTCTACTTAAAGGATGTTTAGTTGCCGTAAAGGATAAGAATGGAATGAGGTAAACAAATTAGAGTTAATATAATTTTTAGTCATTAAAATTGAATTTTATTTTGATTTGAATCCAAAATTTTTATTCTTGAAATTTACTTCATGTATAAATGTTAGTTCCTATAAGCTAAATGTGATTTCAAATTTTAAGGATAAAAACACTGGTTTAGAAACTAAAAATATTGCTTTCAAATTTTAGAAAATCAAAGTAAAAAGAAAGTAAATTTCAAAAGCTAAAAATTATACTAACACAAAAAAATTAAGACAAAAATAAAATCTTTATTCTAACTTGATAAGCTACTTGCATATTTTTCTCCATATCATTCTTTCAATGGAAAACCTAATACTATAAATGTGGGAATAATCACAAGCTCCATAAACCTTATGAATTATAACTCATGAACTTATGGGCTAAATGATCGCTTCCCCTTCATGAACATTATTGATCTATTTTCCCTCCACCTTTTAGTCATTCTGTTTTTATTTTTACTTCTTTAATCAATTCCATTCTATCTTTTCCAGCAAACAAACGATCTCTTACTCTTGGGATTTTATTATCATTGAAGTTTTCTCATAGGAAAACGAGCTCAACTGCAAAGATTCAAAGAGTCCAACGAAGATTAAAATTGAAGCAACTTGTGGGAGGAATAAATAAATTATTCACTTGCATTTCATTTCAATAACAGAATATGAAGAAAAAAGAAAGATGATAATTTGATAAGCAAGCTTTTCAATTTTCATCATCAAAGCAAAGTACACCAACTTGAACCTTATCATTCTGTTTCGTCATCTTCAACCTCTGTCTTGTCTGTTTCTGCAAATTGCGAATCAAACAATCAATCGCCATACCACCTCCTCTGCAAGTAGTAACTATCTCTCCCAATCTCTCCAGATCTATCTCTCCCAATCTCTCCAGATTTGTCAATCTTTCCCATCACAGCATTCTTGAAATTAATGGCTTCCTGAACTTTTGAACAACTCCTCTGCATCCTAACCCCACTCAAACTACTCCTAGACTCCATCATTTCATTCAACGAAAGCCTCTTCTTTGCTCCTCCGCCGGATTCCGGCCGCTGCTTCGGAGCACTCCGAGACCTCAATTTCGCCTTCGAAGACTGAGTATTCGCCATGTAACTTGGGTGGTTTCCATATTGCCAGACCAATCTTTCTGCACAGACACTCTTGGGTGTGACGGCGACTGATCCACAAGAACACGTATTGGTGAAACGTGGAGTGCTCTGTGCTGTAGAGAACTTACATTCTTCCCCTGTTAGTCCCCACTCCGTCTCCGGTGAAACCCTCCGATCTGCCATTGATATCCGAGCTGGGGTTCGAATTTGTGGGAGTGGGATCGGAGAAGACACTGTTTGGAACAATGGGTCGTCGCCAAAATCCGACATTGATGTGTTGCTCCGGCGAGACCTTGACTTCGGCCGGTAGCCGCCTGTGTCCATCTCCACTATCTTCGGCGTCGGACTCCCATCAGTACTGTTAGTGTTGTTATTCATCGAAGCGTCGAAGGAAGAAGATAACCTCATACTTTCATCGAATCTCTCCTAAAAATGAAGTAAATGGTTAAGAGATTTGAATTAAGTGAAGAGTTTGATTCTGGAAAGTTGGGATCTTTACCGTGGATCTTCGAGCTTGAGGTTCACATTTGTATGATTCGTCGGTTTTGTTCATAACTTGACGAGCTTTATGAGATCGAACTGTGGCTTGAGCTCTTATCAGAGCTTGCATGCTGTGTAGTGTCGCCGTTGCTTGCTTTCGGACCAGAAATCCTCTCACAAGTGCTTGGATCTTCACTAATCCTTTCAATGCTCTTAATGCCTTCCTTGCCTGATTCAAATTCAAATCAGAAAATATTTTTAAAAAAAAATGGATTCAGAAAGTACGGAACTTGAAAGTGTGGTCTGTTTGTCTGTTGATTCGATGACGCTTACCAAGAATCCCCTGAATACTGTTTGAATCTTGACGGCTGCAAATTTCTCGTGTCCACGGCCGACCATGGTGGTTCTGCCGTGACTGGTCAGCCTCACTACGGCTACTGCCGCCTGGGCGGCTGCGACGGCGGCGTCGGCTGCTGCTGCAGTGGCAGCTGCCACAGCAATGGCGTGTTTGTTCTGCCGGTCCTCTGTTTCTCCGTAGAATGACTGAAGCCAAGCAGCCTCTGCAGGTGAAAGATTGGGTGGTGCAGCCAACGGCGCCGCCACAGATTTCAAATTCCCACTGTAGTCGGAGTTTGAATTCTGTTTCTTATCTCTGTCTTTCTTCATGCCGAACAACCCCTTCAACCATCTTGTCGCTCTTCCCATTTGCCCAGAAGAGAACGAAACTCGAAGCAGAAGATTAAAAACAAAAACAAAAATCCGAAACAGTGAGTGAGATTTCTAGACAAAAGTGGAGGTTGTTGCAACTTCCAGGTCACAGATTTGGCGTATTTTCCATTTTGGAAGAAAATGTTGAAACAGAGAGTAGTTACAGAAAAAGTGAGAACCCTCTTGAAACACTCAAAAGATGAGAAACAAGAGAAAGAAGAAGATGAGAGGAAGAATGTGAAAAGAAAATCTGTGTCAAAGGTGAAAATGGAATTGTGAGAATAAGAAAGAACGGGAAAAACTGTATGAATGCCTCGAGAAAATCTGCATTACATGACAAAATGTTAGCGTTGGAACATGTTGCAGAGCAACTAGGTGAGGAAATTTGAAACGGGTAATATTTAATATTAAAATTAAAAATATTTATTATTAAATTATTTTTGTTTTCCGGGTTTTTTAATAATAAATGCAATACATGGAATAAACCGAAAAAGTAAGTTATTATTAAACAATGACATGGATGCAGACGAAGCACCCTTAGGAGAAGAATCAAATCCTCGAAAGAAAAACTACATAAATAAGTTAAAAAGGTGAGAGCAAGGAAAGCGAAGCCCCACGTTTTCCCCAGTACCCCACCTTGGAATTGGAAACTCACAGAGTTAAAAAATTAAAAAAAAAAAATTTAACCTTCTAATCTTTATAATTTTAACTCATTATAGAATTTTGACTTGTTATAACTCACTTTTTATAATTTTGAATAAGTTAAAACTTAATTCCTAAACTACAGGAACTAAAGCTTTAAATGGTGGAATTATAGGCTGGGCCAAAAAATATAAAATTACAGGAATAGAATTACATTAATTTAAAATTTTTAAAAAATTGCATCAAGAAAGTTTAGAAAGTGAATTATAATCAAATCAAAACTAAATTTAAAATGAGTAAAAATTATGAAATCCAAAAAATTTAATTTTCCCAATAAAAAAACTGCTTTGAAGTCTGAAATTAGAAACAAAATGTACTTTACACATGTCAATTGTAAATTATGTTCCATGTATTTCAGATTTTTTTTATCAGATACCATTATAAGAAAAAAAAATTTAATTAAAAAAAAAGAATACATTTTCACTCAGAAATTTTTTTTGGAATACATATATGGCACAAGAATTTGAATAATCTACCATTAATCTCTCAGCTAGTAAAAGTCACTATCTTGATCCCTGATTTTCAATTTTAAAATTTGAGAGTCATTCTGTACCCTTACCATCCTAAAATGGTCCCCATGTGTCATTTTCACCAGCATATTGAGTATAATAAATATTAAAACCCTGATGTGTGTGTGTGTACAGGTATTTTGAATATATATGCGTTATGCATAAATTCTGCAAATAAATTCATAAACATATTAATATAAAAAGTTATATTTTACACAATTTTAAAATTTAAATTGAATACTAATGGCTATTTCCCGTACTATTAACATTTTCATAAAATTATTGAATCCTTTTGAAATATCGTTTTAAATTTAAACCATGTGTATATATAAATATATATATATATATATATGTGTTAATAGAACACATGATATTATGATGTACTTAAATTCGTTGTTACGAGTTTATGGTAAATGAATTGAGGAAAAAAAAAAAACGAAGGATAAGAAAGTAAGCATTGTTGATATGTCCATACAACTTATAATCACAAAATATAATTAAAGGAATATTAAAACAAAACATCCATATGGAACTTATTATACATATATATAGTTTATAAGAAATTATATTGCTTATGAAGGTTACACGTATAACTTGTTAATGTAGGACACTTTTATCCAAGACTCACATATGATCATGCATTTTTATAATTGAAGTTATAAGTTACGAACAATTTAATTGATTAATTATATGTTAATATCATCGTTAATTCTTACTGTTTGATCAAATTTTAATTTTGTTCCTCATAATTTCAAATTTTGACTTTTGGTCTTCATAGTTCCATAAGGATTTGGTCTGAGTAAATGCAGTTAAGTATATGAACTAAAATCAAAATTTATTTGATCTCTATATCTTTAACAAATTTTGATTTTGCTTTATATTTTTTTAACGAACTTTGGTTTTATTCCCTATACTTAATAGTGTAAAGTTAAAGTTATACCAAGCTTTTACCAAAATATAGGAACCAAAAACTATAATTTAAAATTATGAAAATAAAAATAAAAATTTAATCAAACTGTAAAAATAAAGAAGTTAAGACATGTTTATGAAACAAGGAGGGGAAAAAGGGCAGGGGGCAGCGTGAAATCGCTATCTGCATCAGGCTCCGGAGTGCAAAAATTACGAAGTAGAGGGACGTGTCTTGGAATACCGAAGAACCTCCAGGTGACGTCTCATCTCTGACACACTCCCCTCTTTTCTCCCGGCAAATTGCGACTCATCTATCCCTTTCTTTTGCTCTCAAGAATTGAATTGAAAGAGCAGTGCTTTTCATGGGATATTGAGAAACGTTCTGGTGGGTATTAAATACTCCTTCGGTCTTTAATATAGGATCTAATTATTAAGTTGGCTTTGATCCTAAATATAATACTCATTTATCATATTTATTAATTTTCTCTAAATTACCCCTATAGATACTCTCTCAACCATAATCAAATAGAAGAAGGAGATGGAGTATTAAGAAAGATGATTATGGTGTTTTAGGAAAAATGTGTCACTTTTTTTATAATTAACCAATTTACCTAACTTCCTTAATCTAATCAAATTAGTTAAATGAGTATTATATTAAGGACCGGAGGAGTATTAACCATTCGGTTGTCACTTTTCATCGTATCCTCATGAAGCAAATATATGTGTGTTGGTCCGTTGTCTCGTCAAGATCATCACAAAGATACAAACCAAAACATGTTGATTTTTTGCTCTTCTTGTGTTTAATAATCTTCCGATATTTAATATAAGCCTCAATTTGAGACTTAATGTTAGTTTTATATGCAAAATTCATTTCACTTTTTATTATTTTTTTATAAATTAACCTTATTAATGATATTTTCTCAACAGTAATCGAGTAAGAGAAGAAAGAAGGAAACCAAAAAACAAGGGTATTCAAGGGCGGCCCATTTCGGTGGCCTGTTTCGGTCCCAGCCTTATTGGAACGGAACGGGTCTGTCTCAAAATTTTTCAGAATGGGACAAAAAAGGGACTAGAACACGGGACCCCGGTCCCTTTTATTTATTTTTAATCATATTTATATAATATTATTATTTTCACAATTTTTTAAGATTTAAAACTATTGGATGGAACTATAGATCCATTTATTTGAGTTTTTATATTTGTTGATAATTTGATACTATTGATTATTAAAATTTTCAGCAAGCTTTTATTGTGTTAAAAACTTTTATTTAGAGTTTTTAATGACTATTACATATAATATTTTAGGCTTTTGTTTAAAGGTGTCCTAATAAATAAAAAAGAAAACAAAAAACTGTTTTTACAAGCCATAAGCGTAAAGAACTATATTAGAGAAAAAAAAAAAATCAGATTTTATTGCAATAGGCCCAACAACTCAAAAAAAATTTAAAAAAATTATATTGGGACGTCTCGGTCCTGTCCCTATTGGGATCAGGACAACATCGGGATAGGACGAGACACAGGATAATTTTTCTGTCCTGTTGTTGTTCATCGAGACGAAACCTGAGCGAGCCATTCCTAGTCCTGATTCGTCCTGTTAACAGCTTTACTAAAAAGATGATTGGGAATTTGGGATGTTTTAGAAAAAAGATATCATATTAACTAATTTAATTAACATGTTTAATCTACTCAAATTAACTAATTAGGTCTTATATTAAGAATAAAAAGAGTATAAGAGTTACTTAACTAATTTAAATAGATTAAAAAATAAATAAGTTACTTAATTTTAATAAATGTGGCATGACCTCCCTAATTAGAATACTCTCATGTAATATTATATTATATATCAATTTATAAATTAGATAAATTAATTTTAGAAAGATAATAAATATGAGAGATCGAATGAATTAAGATATTATGTTCATTACCAAGACTAACTACTCAAAGGGAAAAAAAATTACATGAGAGAAAGAATTTTGAGGATTCATATGGACAAGCATGACATGAGAATATTTATACGGAAATGGTGCTCAAATGTGGGTTTGATTTTATATGATACTCCTCCGGTCCTAAATGGGTAAAGTCTTGCACACTAATTTATTGACATCATTTTCTTGGTAAAGTGGTAACTTTCTTTCCTGTTTCTGATCCCCCACATCTTCAATCGTACTCTACCAGCTGATAAAATCGAAACAAAGTAGGCACAAGATATAAAATTCAACTTTGATTATAAAACTTGATATAAAAAAAACCATGATCACAGCATACTCTTTGATTTTAAATATAATAATTAGTTAACTAATGTAGAGATATTGAAAAAAATAATTAAGTTAATTATTTGTAACAAATGGATGTTAGTTTTTTAGAGATATATCTTTTAATAATTTGCATTGAAATTATTCCATCGATGAAATTTTTTTAATATGTACAATTAATAAAAATTATTTAAAAAAATATAAATTTCAGAATTAAAGTAGATTAATATCTTATATTTAAAATCAAAATAATTAACTATTTTGTACATTTAACACCAATACTAGTTAAAAAGTAGAAACAAACCAAGGTGTTGAATTCTTGGCCATTGAAATTTAAGTGAAGCTTTTAAAAATAAAAATGAAATCGTGCCTCGACGTAAAATGACTGAAATGCTTTATAAACACCAAGCCTGCCATCAGTTAAATGTATTTTTCACTGTAGTAAATATTTTATGCCTTCTTGTAGTTCTAGAACAGTCCATTGCTAGGACAGGTGTCATCTTATCATTGTACACTCTTGTATATATATAGAATACGATGGTCCAGAGAGACGTGAATCCTGGAGCCAACGTTTACTATTTTATTGCAAAGTTTGTCTTGGTACCAGAGCCACACTGTCAGCAATGGCATCGTCATCCATGGGGAGTCCCACCATTAACCCATCAAACCCTAACCCCGCCGCCGTCACACCAGAAAACTCTAATACTCTTACTATTTCATCTCAGCCGGCCCCACCAGTCACCAACCCCCAAGCTTTTACCAGTCAAGTCTCCATCGCTACATCTCAATCACCTTCCCTCACAGGTCTTTCGTCCTCTATGCCATTACCTCTTTCCTTCTCACCTTTTACTTTTGCCTCACCAAACCCTAGCCTCACCCTTCAATCACCAACCGCCACCCCTTTTCCTCTTCCTTTCCAAGGCAACAGTAGGTTGCTGTGATTTCTCTAGTGGTGCAACTGTTACTATGGTTGTATCCGCTTAAAACCAAGGAAGAAGCACTGTCAGCTTTTAAACACTTCAAAAATATGGTTGAAAACCAATTTGAAAGAAAAATTAAAGTCCTTCAAAGTGATTGGGGAGGTGAATACCGATCTTTTCAGTCTTTACTTGATGATAGTGGAATTATTTTCAGACATTCATGTCCCTATACATCTGAGCAGAATGGTAGAGTAGAAAGAAAACACCGACACATAGTGGAAATGGGATTGACACAACTAGCTCAAGCCAAAATGCCACTGTACTATTGGTGGGAAGCATTCTCTACTGCAGTGCACCTTATTAACAGGCTTCCTACTCCTGTCCTGAACAATAAATCACCATTTGAAGTCCTTCATAAAAAACAACCAAATTATACAGGTTTTAAACCCTTTGGTTGTGCTTGCTATCCCCTCCTCAGGCCATATAATCAGAACAAACTGCAATTTCACAGTGCCAAATGTGTGTTTATTGGATATAGTGGATCTCACAAGGGGTATAAATGTCTCAGCACTACAGGGAGAACTTATATTTCCAGACATGTTGTCTTTGATGAAGATGAATACCCATTTTCTAATGGGTTTATTAACTTGAAACAGCCCCAAGACTCTCGTGTGATGGATATTACTCACTCATTTCCTGTACATTTGCAGCATACTCACATTGTTGATCAGTTACAGGAACACAACAATGAGAAAAGCGTTGATTCAACTACAGTGAATGCACCGAGTAAGGGAGCTGAGGATGCCACATCTATTTCCTCCTCTGCCAACAGCAACATAAATCAAGAAATTGCTCCCTGTGATCCTGATCAACTCAACAATTCTCCACAAACAGTGACAAACGAGCAAGAAAAATCATTGGAAGCCCACGAACAACATGAACTTCAATCATCTCAGCCTCCTGATTCTTCTAATGTTTTATCTGAGAACTCCATTTCTCAAGCTCCAACTACACAAAATATTCATCCTATGGAGACTCGAAGCAAGAAAGGAATCTTCAAGCCAAAAACACCTTACATTGGACTCACTGAATCACAAGAGATTGTTCCTCACACAGCAGCAGAAGCGTTAAAATCTCTACCATGGAAACAAGCAATGGTAGAAGAGTTTAATGCTCTCCAAAGAAATAAAACCTGGGTGTTGGTTCCACGGTCCTCCAAGTTTAATGTAGTTGAGAACAAATGGCTATTCAAGTCAAAATTTCACCCCAATGGGACACTTGCCAAGAGAAAAGCGCGACTAGTTGCCAAGGGCTTTCAGCAAACTGAAGGTATTGACTTTTATGATACCTTTAGTCCTGTTATTAAGGCATCTACAATAAGAATCATTCTTACCATTGCTGTTTCATTTAACTGGGAAATTAGGCAACTTGACATTAATAATGCTTTTTTGAATGGTTTTCTGGCTGAACCTGTGTATATGGAGCAACCTGAAGGCTTTATTGATTCAACTAAGCCTAATCATGTTTGCAAGCTATCCAAAGCTCTTTATGGGCTAAAACAAGCTCCAAGAGCATGGTTTGAGAGGCTGAAAAATGTTTTGTTGGACTGGGGTTTCAAAAATTCAAAGAGTGATATCTCTTTATTTATTTACTCAGACAAGTCCCAAATCTTAATGATTCTGATATATGTTGATGACATACTTGTGACTGGAAGTAACTCGTACAGTCTAAAATGCTTCATAGCCAAACTTCACAGTATTTTTTCCCTGAAAGACCTCGGGTCTCTTCAATATTTTTTGGGAATTGAAGCATTTCGAGACAGAACAGGGCTTTATTTGACACAAAGAAAATACATTACAGATCTGTTGCGTAGATTTGGTATGAATAATGCCTCTCCATGTAATACACCTATGGCTGCACATAAATCACTATCAATTCATTCAGGCGAACCTCTGTCCAATCCTTCAGTATATAGAAGTGCAGTTGGAGCTTTACAATATTTGTGCAACACACGGCCTGATATTAGTTTTAGTGTTGGGAAGTTGAGTCAATTTTTGTCTAAGCCCACAACAGAACATTGGAAAGCAATCAAGAGAGTATTAAGATATCTTCAGGGAACAATACATCACGGCATCCATTTAAAACCATCAACATTGCTGGATATTATAGCATATTCAGATGCCGACTGGGCCTCTTGTCCAGATGATAGGAGGTCAATTGGAGGGTATTGTGTTTTTATTGGAGACTCCTTAGTCACTTGGTCCTCCAAGAAACAAAAGGTAGTTGCAAGATCAAGTACAGAATCTGAAAATAGGTCCCTTGCCAACACTGCTGCAGAATTATGTTGGATTTCCTCTCTACTCTCTGAACTGAAACTGAAAATTAAGAGGATACCAACCATATGGTGCGATAATACAAGTGCAGCAGCACTAGCCTCGAATCCGGTACACCATGCAAGGACCAAACACATTGAAATTGATGCACATTTCATAAGAGACCAAGTCTTGTCTAAATCACTCAAAGTTCAATATGTTCCTACAGAGTATCAAGTGGCCGATTGCCTCACCAAGCCTCTTCATCACTCACGTTTTAGTTACCTGAGAGATAAATTGGGAGTAACAGTTGCACCACTAGAGAAATCACAGCAACCTACTGTTGCCTTGGAAAGGAAGAGGAAAAGAAAGGAGGTTCGAAGTGACAGAGGGAGTTAAATGTATTTTTCACTGTAGTAAATATTTTGTGCCTTCTTGTAGTTCTAAAACAGTCCATTGCTAGGACAGGTGTCATCTTATCATTGTACACTCTTGTATATATATAGAATACGATGGTCCAGAGAGACGTGAATCCTGGAGCCAACGTTTACTATTTTATTGCAAAGTTTGTCTCCATCAAATCTATTTATTAATCATATAATGCAAATTATGAATTTTTGAAGTTAACTTAAAATCTGCAAATAACAAAAGCTAAAGGGAAATGAAATTGGGCCTGAATTTGAGTCCTTCTCATCTCTATTTATTACTACCTCCTATTCAAAATAAAAGCTAAACTTTTTTAAAGGGGTTGTTTTTTTTATAAGATAACATTTACTTTTGTCCAAGCATTTAATGAGTTTTTTTTTAAATTTTATCCCAATATATTCTCTTTCCTCTTTAATTCATTTATTGCATCTTTTACTTATTCTCTTCATTAATAAGGGTATATTAGAAAAAAAAATAAATATATGCCTTACACATTTATTGTTTTAAATTGATTTTAATTAGTTTCTTGATAAACATAAATGGATAAAGTTTAGCTTATATTTTGAATCAGAGGGAGTACATTTTATGAAACCCAAGTCAGCTTTCATCGCCAATTATTGGTCTCAACCTTTTAAAATAAGGTATTGGCCGTTTGATTAGATGATAAAAATAAAACACTGAAAAAGAAAATTATTAAAATTAAAATTTTATTAAGATGATGATGATGATGATGTAAATGAGATGAATGCCGGCTAGGATGAAAATGATTTGAGTGTATGCAAAAATTTCACATCATGGGGACTAATTCCTTCCGTTAAACCTGATTCCTGTTGGTATTGTAATTCTTTATTAATTTCAAGGGAAAAAAACTAGACCAGACCGGCCGGTTCAATTGAAAAACTGGTGAATCGATCACCAGTCCGGTCTGGTTCACCTAAAGAACCAGTGCATCGTTGAACTGGTAGAAAATGGGTTCAACTAGTCAAAACTGATGTTGAACCCGTAACCACCAATTATCCAGTTTAATTTTCTTTTTTACTGAGCCAGCTTAAAAGCGATGCTGTTCTGTTTTTTTTTTTTAAAAAAAAATCTCTTAACCAAAATCTCCTCCTACCCTCACTGTCATCCAACTTCGTCTTCGATCTTCTCATCTTCCCAAATCTGAAAATCCCCTCCCCCAAATCGCAGTATCGCCTTGCTCCTTCTCCCATATTCAAGCCTTTCCCTCCACCGGAATCAGTAGCTTTGCTAACAATGGACCTCCTAGTTTGGCCATTCATTGACAGTGGTGCCCAGTCACATGTCTCCCTCGTCGCTAATGTCCTGCTTCGCCTTTGCTGTTCACTGGCATCGTGCTTTCCTGTCGCAGCTCACATAGCAAGTTGCACAACAAGTTGCAGCTCACTGGCGTTATGCTTGAAGGATGTTCTGCTTTGCCTTCGCCGTTCACGGATGCTTCACCTTCGATCTGTGCGTTGAGCTGTATTATGATAAAATTATAAAAGATAAAAACCAATGAATGTTCAGCTTGTGGGTGAACATTTGCTGCCTTGTTTCTATAGTAAAACTTGTGTACTTGCTGAATTGCATATTTGATGATTAATTACAATTTCCATCAACTTCAAAGTGTTGGTAAATTGTTGCATCAAGTCTGAATTGAATTGTACCAAAAAAAAGGTCTAAATTGAATTAATTCAAAAAATTGAAAGCACATGGTTTTAAATTCGATATTATGATAAAATTATAAAAGATAAAAAAATTAATTTTTAAGATGTGTTTTTTATTAATGTTCATTTGGTATAATTAAACATTTAAACTACTTTGGTAGCTTCTTTTTTTTTTTTTTCAGTGATTATCATTTGTGAAATTTGTTCTATTTTAATGTTGTGAATTAAATTTTATTATTTTAATATGACCGGTCCTATCTCGGTCCGATCTCGATCTGACTAGTGACCTTTGATCCACTGGTTGGACCGGTTTTGTTCCTTGATTAATTTCGTTAATGTTTCATATTAAATTTCCCTTGATTGAGGTGGGCTTATGGGCCCAGAAGAGATGGCCCTAATTTATTCTTCTTTTTGTCCATCACGCAGTTTAGGCCCTTTGAGGAACGAGGGGAACAAAATAAAAATAGGTTGGACCATTCCAGAAAGAAAGCCACAACCATGGACAATGGCGACCGCATCCAAGAGATTGAAGACCGATCATCGGCCACCGCCTCGCCGGTAAATCACTGAAGCCACAGCCGTTTCTCTCTTTCTCTGTTTTTCTTTTATAATCTCGCTCTCTTTCTTCGTCTCCAAATTTACGAAAGCAATTCGAGAACTTGTTCTCCTTGTGGATTCTTGTGAGAAATATAATTTTGTCGTGGGTTCGTTCCGCTCGATAGAGAGAATAACGTTTCATTTTGTCATTAAGAGCGATTTGATACATATTTCTGGTTCATAATTCTGCACCTTGCAGCTTACCGTTCGTTTATGTTTACTTCTATCAGTTCAATCAAAGATCCATTGATGTTCCATGAGACTTCTCTTTCTCCTTAAATTCTGAATGAGAATACAAAAGGGGCTAAATTCTGAATCCGTCTTGGTTACTTACAGGAATGTAGCTTCATCGGATGAAAAGAACGACAAAGCTGCAATACCAGCAGGTGGATTGCAGGTTTGTCTCTGTTTATGGCTGTTTGTGCTTGTGGCATTGGTATATTCAACGTTCTTATATTTAGATCTGTTTAGTATTATAATTCCAAATATCATATGTCATATTCAGGCTCCTGTGGCTCAAACAAGTGGATCCCATTTGAGGGTTCAACAAGCCAAAAACTTTGCTGTTGCACAGGCTCATGCAGATGGTTGCACTGGGAACTACAGGATCTTTGATTCAGCCTTTGGCAATTTTCTTGTGCCTGTAGTCCCAGCTCGTGCAGATCTGGCTCTGTAATTCGTCTTTGGACCCAATTCGAAGTCGTATGTCTCTTATTTTATGTGAAAGGGATGGAGAAATGATAATATTGTAGAGGAGATCACGGGTTTGATTTCATTCATAATTTATCGGTTAGTGCTTTCCTTTTAATTAAAAGTAAAAACATAAAAATCAAAGAATCAAAGGTGTTGAATATAATAGAAGAAATTAGTTCTTTATATTTGGAGAGATCCAAAATTTGAATTCCTTTGGCTTTTTTTTTCAGATTTCCTAATTAGTTTAATTTTCAATATGATTCTAAATATAAGATCTTAATCCATTTTATTTGTTTTATTTATTTATTTATTTATTTCAAAGTAGTTTTTATAGTAGTTGTATATGTTAAAAATTTCATCAAATGATAGTTTTAACTAATATACATAATTAGCAATAAATTAGTTAATTAATTCTTATATTAAAGACGAAAGATAATTTCATATATAAGTTGAAAGTTGCGGGAAAGTGGTCTTTAGCCCTCTAAACTTTTAGGTCTCGTTTGATATGAAGCTTTGAAAATAAGAGATTGAGATTGGGATTATAATTGAAAAAAATTATTAAAATAATACTTAATATAAGTAATTGCTTATTATATAGAATTAGACAAACTCATAGAGATGAGATTAGGGAATATCACTTTCCGTTATGATATTCTCCAATCTCACATTCATGGGTTTGGCTAATTCAATATAACAAACAATTTCTTATATTAAACATTCTTTTAATAGATTTTTTCAATTGCAATCCTAATCCTAATATTTCATTTTCAATACTTCCTACCAAACGTAACCTTAAATTTGTTAACTTTATGTTTTCTTAAACTATATTTTTGTGTGCGTATATAACTTCCTTAGATTTTGAGTTATACGAAAATAAAACCCTTAAATTTAAATTATTTGTAGATAAATAATGAAAAAAACCAATAATATGAGAATATAAATATAAAAGTTCAAGGTTTACTATAAAGTTTCAAAAATTAACGAGTTATTTACATATAGCATAAAGTTTAATGGATTTCTAATATAATTTAGCCTATTATTAATTATTAATGCTGTTTCTTTAATGTTTTTTAATGGTAGGAATTTTGACTGAAGTTAATCATATCATTAGAAACTAATTTCTTAATAAAAAAAATTACAGACTTGAACCTAAATTAACCAAAATTTGAGGGGGTAAATTTTATTTTAAGTAAGAGATATATTTCAAGTTTTAGCTTTCTTTGTCCCTAAATATAACTCATAACATCTGGGGTGAGTATTCGGTTTTTAGTTTAATTTTTATTATGTCCGAAATAATTAAAAAACCGAACAGAGTCAATTTCAAAAACAAAATCAAAATTAATTAACCAAATTAACAGAAACCGAATTAACTGAAATATTTTAATTCGGTTAATCGGTTAAGTGAAATATATAAATGTGAAAGGTAATTTTAAATTGGAAAATCATGATAAAACCATTGGCAAAAAAAAAAAAAACACAATTACAACCATTAATCCTATTTTATTATTTAATATGATTTATTATAATACTCCTCTGGTGCTAAATGATCCATTTTATAATGTAATGGGTCTTATATTTGAGATCAAATGGAGTAATATTTACTATAACCATATTTATTAAATATAAATATACTTAAACTCATTGTTCAAACTCACATACTGCCATATATATACTTATTATAACTATATTTATTAAATATAAATATATTACATATATATTTTGGTTTTTTGGTCCTAAACTTTATTGTCTAATAACTGAATTCAACATGAAAAACCGAATTGTTAAAAAATAAAATCAAATAATTAACCAAAAAACCAAAATTGAATTTGATTTGGTTCAATTTTTGGTTATGGTTATGTTTTGCTCACTCCCACATAATAAAGATTTTTAGATATAATTAATAATTTCTTTCAAAAACAAAATATCCCGCTTGGCATAAAAGGGAGGTTTTACTATTAATCTTCTATAGAAACAGAGAAAGGTCTTGTTGAGACTTTCGTCTCCTTGGTTGGTTCTTCTCTCAAGAGGTGGAAATTCTTGATCATAAGGATCTATCATCTCAATACAAGGAATGGGTTGATTTGAAAGTGGTTGGATGACAGGAAGTACCGAATCTGAGTTTTTCTTGGAAAAAAGATCTTCATGACTTTTTTCTCTAGGTAAATCATACAGAGATAATTTATGAGAAGGAACAACAGAAATAGGAAAATTTCATTTTTTTGCAATTTTGTTTTGAGCCATGATCATAATCATCATGATGATATCTATGATTTTTTTTGAGAACAGGAGGATGCATAAGTGTTCTCCCCCCCCCCTTTTTTTGCTATATATCTCATATGGTAAGCCCATTCAGGTTCATCTCCATCATTCGATGTTTCCCACCAAAAAGTTTCATCTAGTGCATGATCCCATGGAAAATAACTATTTATGTGAGATACATAACAAGGTCTAGCATTCTGATCTACCCAAGTGGTTGGATGATCTCTTTTGGATGGAACATAGGCTGGAGTGATTGACAAAATATGTCCAGAAGGAACAAAAGGTTCTTCTCAACCTGGTCTGGTAAAAAAGGATTTGACCATACCATCTGAGAGTCTCCTCAAGGTTGGAGATGTAGAGATGTGTACTTCCTTTAGGACATCATGAAACTGTTTTTCATAATTAGTGATCCACTTAAATGGCATCAGTTGAACAAGTTTTTCTTTAGGCATTTGTCTAGGGATCTGAATGATAGAGGTATCCTCAGCTCTTTCTGAGATAACATAAAGAGCATCTTTTGTAGAGTTAAGAAAGTAAAGATCTAAAGCATGATTTTAAAGTCTGTAGATAATTTGATGATGTAGAGTTGCTACAATAGCTCTGGAATCTTGATTTGCTTTGAATATTTGAATTTGGACTTTCAATCTATCAATCTAGGTTGGATCTAAAAGTTTTATATTGAAGTCTAGAGCAATAATGAGAATGACACTGTCATTGTTAAGAGTGGTTAGTTTGAAAGTTTTATATTGAAGTCTGGAGCAATAGTGAGAAACTCAATATGTGCTTCTTTTTACAGATAATGAAGAAATCGACTCTAAATCCTTATCTTAAGAAGAAGAACAATATGGGTATGTATACTCTCTTGATCAATCCGTAAATACCCTCTAGTTTCCAAATTCCTACCTGTCTAATATCACCCGTCTCTTACCCTAAAGAATTTGATTGCAATAAGGTTTTCAAAATGTCTTATCCTATTTTAAGCCAATTAAGAAACCTCAACCATTACCTCCTTTTGTGTAATCCAAATCTTTTTCTAGACCTCTAGTAAGACCACCTCATTTCCCTCCATTTGGAAATGTTTTTTAACCTTCACTTTCATATACTAAACCCATTGAACCAAAACCACCCTCTTGAGGAGTAAAAATCAGATCTCCGCCATATTCTCCACCTAAAACAAGTTCTCCTCTAGATAAAGAAAAGGGAGACTTGGAGAGAATTCATGAAAACACACTTGGAGAGTTCATATAACTCCTTTTGCCTCTATCACTTGGCAGAGCTTAGTTCTTATAGACTTTTGGATTACAATACGACAAATAGACTAAAATTATTGTCACAGACATTAGAGTAAAGATTCTAGACGGACACATAACATAAAGGCAAAGATGCTTTTAATTATTAAAATAGGATAAGCACTCTTTAACTTAAAACAAATTTAAAGTAGACAAGTGACATAAGGATACATGAGTCACTTAAAGTAGATTCATGGTAGGTCATCCTTATCTCTAGTCCTTATGAATGTGTACATGATTTGGAGACAAATTCATGCAATGTTCAGAATCAAAGTTGTCTGGATCAGAATGATAGCATTCATATGCATAATGGAACTGGAAAAATGATGGTAATTTTGGTTGTAGAAATCAAAATCCTTCTATTTACTCATTTCATTTTCTCACTATTCATATAAAGTCAACAAACAAAAGGCTCATCCCGCTACAATTCAATGCTTCCAAGTCAGATCCGCCACATGGCATGATGATGGGTTACACGCATATTAATAAATTGATTTTCTGATAGCAAGCATAGAGTATGGGTGGAAATTCAAGCAGGCCTAATCAGCATTGCATATTTTAGGTTCCCTAAGCTATAATTAAGTGTCTCCATCAATATAGGGTAACTTCTACATGGCCATTCAAGCGTCTCTGCTACATTTTAAATTATTTTAAATTATTTTTTCACAATTACTTCTCCATTACAACTGTTTTTTCAAACAGAAATTTGATTATATATATTTTTCGAAAAAAGATGCTATTTGTCGAAGTTAAGAATCACAACTTCTATAGTTGCTGGGGGCACACATACTAATTAATAATTTGATATTAGGTAATACGAGTATAATTTTATTTGTGTCACGTTCGTTTTCATTTGAATTGTGGGACATCGTATATGGAAGATATCGAAATGATTGTACTTATTCACATCTATTGTCCGTTAAAAAACTGCCGAGTCCAAAGCTATGCACATGCGCACGACCAATATACCAACAATATGATGGCAAAAAAAAAAAAAAAGGAATGGAAGCGACAATATAAGCAATAACTTTACATTCATATTTATCATAGATCCTAGTTGACATCAATTAGTTGAGATTTTTTTTTGTGTGTTTTAATCATTTAATTGTATAGTTTTAATAACTGTTTATTGATAAAAATAAGCTAATAAACTAAGACAAATTTACAATGAGTTTATATCATTGTCCTATACTTGTGAGTTTAACAATCTTGATGCATGGATATTTTTTTAAAAGAGCATCTGTTTCAGCCAAAGTAAGCTATGATCGTGCATGCTTTCAAGCTCAAATCTAAAATTAGTCATATTTCTATTTATGTATAATGTTTAAAATTAATAGCAATTCATATTATTTATAAATAATACATAATGTTACTTTTTTTAAAAAAAATTCTTATTTTATGCAAAAAGATGTCTAAATTTTGAGATCCTTGAGTGTTGTTTATTTTTCAATGAATCATATTGGAGCCTTTTGTGCTTTAAAAATAAGTAATACTACTATTATTCATGATTTGAAAATAATTTAACTTAATGTAAATTTTAGATAAGATGACACATTAAATTTTTTTTTTTAAGAAGATAATACTCCCTCCTTATTATGAGTCTCAAATAATTAATTCATAGATAACGAATCAAACTGTTAGTTAAAATTAATTAAAAACAATAAATATGTTAGAAATATAGTTTTGTTTCCAAATATGTCCTTATAATAAATAAGACAAAAGATAAAAAAGAATATGTGAAAAAAATGTAATAGGAGAGAGTACACTAAAGGAGGGTAAATAAATAATTAAGAATAAAATAGAAAAAATGTATTAAACATTAAGACAAATTCATATTAAAATTTATAAATGGATTATATTCTTCTCCAAATTAGAAGCTTATAAATATGACCAGTGGGAGTAGTACTTAAGAATTTTAAAATTTGGAAATAGCAAACTATAACTAATTCAGCTTATTAGTGGTTTGGCAGATTCCTTCTCCAAGGTATTCTCTTCAAGAGCCCTTACTAGTTATTAGGAAGTAGGAACATAACGATTTATTTTTCGGGTTAGTAAAAGCAGAGACCCTCTTATATTTTTAATTTGGGAGAACTAGAACAAAGGATCTATAGAAAAAAATATTTGGTGCAGAAGGTCATAAAAATTATAATTATTTTAAAAGACCACATATTAAGATATAATTTTAAAGAGACTAAATTGCCCATAACTAGTCTTCTTATATTCTCTCACATGATATCTCAATTATCTAATAGATAGTGAGTTTTCTCCTTTTTCACTAACCTACATCTCACTCCATGTAGATTATTTGATTCATTTGTGATTAGTTGGTAAGTCTGCAACCATAAGACCTGCCCCAAAAGTGGCGACCAAGAAATGATTCTTCTCAACCTGCAAAATCAAACATGATATAGTTCAATTCATTTGCCCACAAAAACTCCATAATTTGTTTGAAAACAATGTTAATCGTTAGTGTTAAATACTTGGTCCCTCCCAACAAAGCTCCTCAAATCACAGACAGTATCTCCTTCGACATGAGAGACAAAAAAACAACCACCAAAATTAACCCTTAAATCAAATGGAAGTGGTGTGGAAGTTAACATTTTATGAGAATTAAACTACCATTGCCCCAAATCCTTAAACTAACATTTTATAAATCTTGCTCCATTTAGGATTTCCCCCCCTTAAATGAAAACAAGAGCAGAGGCAGAGGGAACGAAGTGGATTGGGTCAATTTGGTATTTTAAAATTTATATTTTAACATTTGGTCCTTTTAAATAATTCTAATTTTTATGATCTTTTTACTAAATATTTTTCTGTAAGGTCCTCTCTTCTAATTCTCCCTTTTAATTTTGAAGCCATTATTCTTTTAAAAAAGTCCCAAAATATCACGTTCTCTTGACACACACCCTCTCTCCTCTCCCTCACGCACACCCACATTGATATCTTAGTTAGGGTGATGAATTTTTGTTGTTGAAATGGATTTTGAGAATAAAATAGACGGTTAATTAATTGATATAAAATGACAGCATAATAATGTTGGTGAAGTAGAAGTATGCTTCATTTTATGTATAAAAAAGAATTACTCTTTATTTTATTTTCGTAAATTTTTAAATCAGTCTCTATGTATAAATTTTGATATTTATGCAATGTAGAGACTTTTTTTTTAATTAAACTAAAATCGAATATGCCTTTCCTGATATTTTGTGTTAGGTATACCCTTTATAAAGTTATTCTTTGCATCGAATTTAAATTTAAATTTTATATTATTATTGATGACATAAAGTAATTAGAGTATGAAATCTGCAGACATATATCCATTTGGCTAAAAAAGTTATTTAAAACGAAATCGAATATGTCTTTCCTGATATTGTATGTTAGATTGTTAGGGTACACCATCCAAAGTTATTCTATGTGTCTAACTTAATTATAAATTTTATATTATTAATGACATATAAATAAATAACTATAACATTGATGTGTGAAATTTGAGATCCATTCTTGGGCCAAAAATGAATTTGAGAATTATAATGAGGTGTAAAAAAAAAAAAATCTTAATGATAAGTTAGGAGTTATTCTTTCTTACATTAAAATTTGTCATTACAGGCAGCTTAATTGAATAATTGTCATTAGAATTTTTTAGTAATTATATTTTTTTATGACTTTATTGCAATTTTTCCAAAATAAAATCGGAGATAAACTGATTCTGGCAGAGGAAAAGGAAAAGAGATCCATTAATATAATGCATTGGGTTTATTTTTTATTTTTCTCATGTAGCATTGTGATCTTTTTTCTTTTTTTGCCAATAATATTTTATTTCCAAGACAACATTGTATTATTTTGTAGTAAAATTAATTTTTGAATGTCGAAGTAAAACAACCACATCTTCTGATGAATGCGCCTTTAATTTAGACATGTTTAGATATTTTAAGCCTGAGATAAGTTTCTTGGACCAAGAAAAATGTCTGGATAAGTTTCTGTGGAGTAGTTCTTTTTTTTTTTGTTGGTATAATTCTGTGGAGTAGTTATTAATTATGCTATTTCTTGTGGCTTGCCTCTTTCAACGGAAAAAAAATTAATTTATGAAAATGAAGAATTTATTCCACTTGAGTTTATTTTTTTTGAAAAAAATCATCCATGTATATAATTTTTTGCCATTTTTAATGATAATTTTTATTTAACCAATGCAGGTCATATGGTTCGGACAAAAATTAAGAAATATGATATTTTAATGTTATTAGAGTTTCCACATTATGCTTATGAAAAAAGAGTTTTCACATCACATATAAAGGACTTACAAAAATTGATTTGTTAACGTTTTTGTAGTTATATATATGGATACATAATCCCTAAATTTATATGTAAACAAACATGAACTTAGCAGTTTAAAAAAAGTTATGTAATTATATGAAAATTAAATATATTGCTATGTATATTTCCCTGAAATTAAAAAAAATAAAAATAACGAGCCGCATTAATTATGGTCTGTGAATGAATGGCATGACTTACTATGAATCTCTCATTATTCGCAGCGAGTTATCAATATCTGACTATTTTTCAAAAATGTAATTTGGATTTAAACTTTTGGCTTATATGCCCATTTTATCTTATACTCATTATTTGAGCCAGTTAGTGATAATCTAAAGTTAAAGCTTATCAACATCTTGAATTATTTTCCTAAATATATTCAGCATTGTAAAATATTTTATTTTTTATTGAATATTCTGAACTATTTTCTAAGCTGGTTGAAGATATCAGTTGCACTTTAATCATTAAGGGGGTGTTTGGCAGCCCTCAAAAGTGCTTCTCAAAAGCACTTTTTGGCAAAACGAAGCAAATTCCTCCACATATTTACTTCGTAAACCGTAAAAGCATTTTTGAAATTATAGTTTGGTTTCTATCCAAACACCCCCTAAATTTACACTTTGACTTTTTATTATGAAGAGGATGAAATTAAAAAGTTGCTTTTTTTTTTTTACCTGAAATAAAAAAATTGCTTTACAATTTATTCAGTTGCCGCAGAACGGAAACAACATTAATATTCCTGAAGTGTTGATCAGATGGGGACACATCTCCTGTACCTGGATAATGATATTTTATTTTTCCTACTGCGAAAGTTAACCTCCGATTATATGGCTTTCTCGAATATTTTTCGGTCAAGTGGTCTCTGATTATGGAGTAACAGCCCGGTAGGCGATCCCTTTCTTACCATTCCTGTCATTCTCCTAACTGGCATCAATGCAATTTTATGAATAACCCATCTTTCAGCTGCCAAAAAGAGCTTTTCCCATTAAAGTTTAGATTTAACCAACTGAGATTTTCATCTTTGAAGGAAAAAGTTTGAGGCTTTCCGAGGTTTTTCATTGGTTCATCGAGTGAGTGGCTACGCCTGGACCGTGGTTGTATTTGTTAGTGAGGAAAGCTGATGGGGAAGTTAGCGGTGGGAGTTACAGTGGCTTGCGCCGCCGCCGTATGTGCAGCCGCGGCACTGGTGGTGCGCCACCGTATGATCAGCTCCCGGAGGTGGGCCCGTGTTAGAGCTATTGTGGAGGAGTTTCAGGAGAAGTGTGAGACCCCTATTGGTAAGCTTAGATTAGTAGCTGACGGCATGGACGTTGAGATGCATGCTGGTCTTGCATCTGAAGGCGGGAGCAAGCTTCAGATGTTGATCAGCTATGTCGTTAATCTCCCAACTGGGTTCGTAAATTTGTGTTGTCTTTGATGATTTTCGAGTATATTTATTTTCTTTGTGGCTTTTCATGGTTTGAATGCTTGTAACGATCACAATGGATCGAGTAGAGAATGCTTGTTAATTTTTTTTTTTGGGGGGGGGGGGGACAAAGTAAAAGCTGACCGATTCGGATTTAAGAATTATCTCTCTCTCTCTCTCTCTCTCTCTCTCTCTCTCTGACATGGACATGAATTTAACATAACTTCAACTTTTTTAATATCTGTCAAATTATCGGTGCTGATGGAGAAGTTTCATCCAACAATTCACTTAAACTGGCCTAGCAGTATTTTTTTTCCCGCCCTCAAAGAAACCTTCTGGCCTATTCTGAAACTTTACAACAACAACAATAACATAAGCTTTATCTTACTGGGTGAGATTGGCTACATGCATTGTCTAACATTATTGTGTTCTGTCCAAGACCAATTCTTCTGATAAGCCATTAATTGAGAGTGATTCTGAAACTTCAGTTCTAAAAAAAAATTTATGAAGTTGTTGTCAAATATATAAACTGATTCATCAGTCATGATAATATATAAATTTATCTTTCTATGGGGATTTACTTCTAAACTGCACTTGATAGTAGGTTGCGAATAACCTGAAGACAACATCCGGCAATTGAGAGGTTTAATGATATGAATTACTTTGTTTCGACTTGTTGGGACGAGTATAAGTTTTTTCAACACTTGAATTTTTAAGAGATGGCTTCCTTTATGGGACTGCTCACTTTGTACCATTGTTTCCAGGGACGAGAAAGGAATTTATTATGCATTGGACCTTGGTGGTACAAACTTCCGTGTTCTTCGCGTACAGTTGGGTGGAAAAGGAAAAGGTGTTGTCAGCCAAGAATTTGAAGAAGTTTCGATTCCTCGTCATTTGATGACTGGTTCTTCTGCTGTAAGTCTTTTGTGAAATCTCTAATTATATAGGCCTGCCTACAGAAATGCCTCTCAGATCTAATTATTCTGACTCATGACGTTTCAGGAATTATTTGATTTTATAGCAGAAGCTCTCGCAAAATTTGTTGATTCTGAGCCTGAAGACTTTCATCCTCCCCCTGGCAAGCAAAGAGAGTTGGGTTTTACCTTCTCATTTCCTGTGAGGCAAACATCAATTGCGTCCGGGACTCTAATTAGGTGGACCAAGGGTTTTAATATTGCAGATGCGGTGATTCTTGTTACCTTCACTCTGAGCTGTATTCCATTTTCTTTTTAAGTCGCTTTTATGTTTGTACTTTATGTGCATTTATATTGATTATGATTATTGTGCATGGTCCAGAGACATGAAAGAGTTTTCTCTCTTTCTGTCATTGATTTGACAAATTACTATGCTAATTACGTCATGACTCACATAAAATTTTGAACTCCTTTCGTAGATATAATTTTTCTACTGTTTTTTCTTCATATTTCAGCTGTTCATTTTTTGACCATGGTAACATAACAATTCTTCCTTTATGGCTTCTGCTGGGTTGTTATAGGTTGGAGAAGATGTAGTGGGAGAACTGACCAAGTCTTTTGAAAAGATTAATCTGAATATGCGTGTCTCAGCTCTTGTGAGTCTCACTCACCTCTTTTAAAACCTCATTTGTCATTTCCCCCCTGTCGTAAGACATTGAGAAAGCTGATGATTTAGTTAGTAAAATTAAAAAGAGAGACGATGATTTATAAATTGTCTGACAGGAAGTTGGAGTTATGACGTTCTATGGTTTTAATCATTTTATGCTTGGTGATTTAATGTCTTAAACCGGAAACAAACTGACATGGTAAGGTAATCTAGGTTAATGACACTGTTGGAACCTTAGCTGGGGGCAGATTCTACAACAAGGATGTCATTGCTGCAGTCATTCTAGGTACGGGCACCAATGCAGCATATGTTGAGCGTGCTCATGCAATTCCAAAATGGCCGGGTCTTCTACCAAAATCAGGAGAGATGGTAACTAGGTTTTGCGCTTTGATTACTGTTATTTGGACGTGTTTGTGATAGTTTTGTCTTTATTATGGAAGACAAGGTTGGTAATGATTGATTGCTGTCATGTCATATTTATTTCCATTTCATGCTATAGGTTATAAATATGGAGTGGGGTAATTTCAGATCCTCACATCTTCCTATATCAGAATATGATCAAGCTTTAGATTCTGATAGCTTAAACCCTGGAGATCAGGTAACAGTCATTGATCATTAGTTTAAAATGACCAATGTGCATATGTAACGCACTTACCCTATCTGCAGATTTTTGAGAAGTTGATTTCTGGTATGTATTTGGGGGAAATTGCGAGGAGAGTTTTACTGAAGTTGGCTGAAGAAGCTGACTTCTTTGGAGAATCCGTTCCCCCCAAGTTAAAAATTCCTTTTGTACTCAGGTTTGATCATTCATCCAATCAAACATTAACTTTTTTGCTCAAGGTCCGTAGGAATTATAAACATGAAATGTTCATATTGCTCACCTTATTCTTTTTGCTGGAGGTATTTGCTTGCATATCTACCTGAGTAACAATGATTGAAATACTTTAACCTGCTCTTTTATTGCTGAAGGTATACTGATGTTGAATTATTGGGATGCATTCTTTGTTTGTCACATGCATTATCATTGTATGGTTGTTTTTATTTCAACCGGTCTAAACTCTAATTTTTTCGTCTGCTTGTATCTAATTTATATGGGATGCTTGACATAAATCTTGATGCTGCTTTAACTGGTGGGCAAACTACTGGCAGATGCAAAGATTTTAAATTTCTCCGGTTTATATTTGGAAAAACTTGTGGAAATGGAATGAATGAAAATTATTTTTTTATCTCTCTTGTTCGTTATGGGTAAAAGCATCTACGACTGATAAAGTGTTATCCTGATAATAACAGTAAATCCTTTTCATCCAGAAATAAAAACATGTATTTCTGTTGGCATGAATTAAAACAAAATATAGGTTAACAGGCAAAAGTCTAATTTTGGTTGTTGTTTTTTTTTTTGACATCACACTTGCGTTCATGTTTTGAGAATAGATTAAGTTGTCAAGGGTGAGATTCATATAGTGAGTTAGTGACCACCCTATTGTTGATGCTCTGTGCAAAAGAAAAGGGGAAAAGCTTAGGTCAAGTTTCTTATATCTATTATGTCAAGTTCTCCAAGTATACATGGCCATATGTCCTTTTTATTTCATGTGGATTTATAATTAAAGGCTCTTAGATGCTAATATTTCAAAAATAGGACACATGGTCATGTGTAATTGGAGAACTTGACATAAAGGATATAAGGAACTTGATGTGGGTATTGTCCAAAGAAAAATGTTAATGCCATCCTATTATCTTGATTAAAAAAGTATGTGGTTTCTCCGCATTCTCAAATATTTTGCGGTCACTCCCTCCAATTTAATCTGTGCTAAGGAGAGCCTTTTGTTATTTCGGGAGAACAGATCCTTTCCGGTCTTCACACCTGTCCTCTCCGATCACTATATCTGGACCATGTGATCAAGTTGATGGTCCAGATCAATATCTAGAAAAAGTGTCCCATTAGTAATTTTTTTTTCTTGATTTTCTCTACTGCCTTCTTTCATTTTTCTATGCTAACTCATCTATTAAAAGAAGAAAAGAAAAGAAAAGCATCAAGGAGCCATGGTTTCCAATAGCCATAGCAAAGGGGGAAGGAACTATATAATAGAAGGAGATCTACATGAAACTCTCAGGATCTTTCTGGTAATCATTGCTGTTTGTAATTAAATTCACGGGGTCTGGGACTGATGACCCTACTCTTCAAGTCTTTTCCTGTAAGCCTTGTGGGATGACTCAGAGCATTTGTGCTCCCTCTCCTTTAGAGTAAAGTAACAGTCTGTCGCCAGTAAATATGCTGGAGGGATCATGATGGTTAGTACTTGATCTTTATACAGGCTCGGCTCACTTCTAGAATCCCACAAACTCAGAGGTATTTTGCCCTTTTATGATCTCATCCTTATCTAGGCATGTGTTACTAGCGTAATAGTCACTTGCTTTCCTTCCTTGCTGTCACTTTGCATGAAAGAAATTCCTTATAACTATTAAATAAGGGAATTCACTGGATTGGTCAGTGCCAAAGCTTTGAGTGATGACTAGGACTTTGTTACTGGATTGAGTGCCTTATATGAGGTTGCCCATTTGCTTTTGGGAACTTTGGTTTATCTGCATTGTTGGCTTCATCAAATGGTCCATAAACAGATAAAAGAGTCAGGAGGAAATTAGACAAGAAACATTTCATTTTTAAAATTTTGGACAATTGAGCCTATAGTTAAAATTTGAAAGATTGGACCCATCATACTGTGGGTTTAGCAGTCAAAGGGTTGGACACTCACCAAAAGGAGGGGTTTCAATTCCTGAGATGGTCGTGGCCCTTGGGGAGGCATATTCACAATCAAATAAAGCATGTAATTTGGAGTCAATTCCCACGTGGTTAATGCTCTATCCTAGCCAACGACCTAGGCACATTGACAACCTAGATGAATAGTGTGGGACTGACAGGTAACTAGGTTGCGTGTGACTGGCTAGTTTTCCTGCCTTTTGGATGTGGGTGAGCCCAACCCCTTGAGTAAAATTTGATCACCAAAAAAAAAAAAAATGACATTGGTGGAGGTGTAAGAGAAGTTAAACTGCATTCAAGTTGCTCATAACAATTATTAAACCTATGGGTGGTGATATTTTCTCTATATTACTAATTACATCCTTTTGAATTAAATTTACACTGTAATGCATTTTTTGTAGCATGTTAGAACTTTCAAAATCCTTATTTTGCCTTGTTAATGAGATTTATAGGACACCTGACATGTCTGCCATGCACCATGACACATCTCCAGATCTAAAAGTGGTTGGAAGCAAATTGAGGGATATATTAGAGGTACGTGCGCTTTATTCATGTTGAATACACATGAATCTATATGGTCCTTCCCAATCCTGTTAATTCTTCTGCTTGAATTGGATGCAAAAGGCAGGAAGTTAATTATGAACTAAGCTCATGGGATTTACTGTCTTTGATCTGTCTGTCTGAAATAAAAGCAAACATATTATGTTATTGGCAAAAAAGAATTGGCCTCATAGCATTGGACTGGTTTTCATTTTGTATTTCCCTTTCTCAGATCTCTGATACATCTCTGAAGAAAAGGAAGATTATTGTTAAGCTCTGTGACATCATTGCTACACGTGGGGCCTGCCTAGCTGCCTCAGGAATTTTCGGCATTCTCAAGAAAACAGGAAGGGACACAGTTAAAGCAGGGGGAGAGAAGCAAAAATCAGTGATAGCAATGGATGGAGGATTATTTGAACACTACATGAAATTCCGCACATGTTTGGAGAATACGCTCAAGGAATTATTGGGAGATGAGGCAGCTGGTACCATTGTCATTGAGCATTCGAACGATGGCTCAGGCATTGGAGCAGCCCTTCTAGCAGCATCACAATCTCAGTATTTGGGAGTGGATGACTTTTGAAAATAAGGTTAATCCCACGCAGAAGTGCAGAAGCTTCTACCATGGAACCTGCAAGTCCATATTCCACATTGGGGCTTTCCGTAGAGCTCGCTGGTTTTATTCTGTAGCCATTGATGCTGCTCCTTGCAGATGGTTAGGGCATCGATTCCCTCTTGTGTTCAAGAATAAAGGGAGACATGTGAACTATAACATTGGGTAGTTCTTGATAGCCGCTGTAGTGGATCAGGACTTTCATGTACAAACAGGGCTATTACTATCATCATCATTATCATCCTCATTGTTGTTGTTGTTGTTATAATTAAAATGATGCTGCCAAGAATTATCAATATCCAACCTTCTTTCCCTCTTTGAAGTCTTATTAGGAGAGTCACAGCATCGAAAAGATTCTGACATTCTTTTCTACATAGCTAGAATGGGTCCCTGCAATGAAGCAGTATTGGCAAATCTCCTTCATGGAAAGCCTACTAGTTGGCTGTGTTTCTGTACAATTCAAACATTTCATCTGCGTAGCATGCTTCCTTAATTTCTTTATCCAGTACTGCTACGTCTCCACCAAGCTGCATGTGTCACCTTGCCCAATGGGGCAAGAGATTAGTGTTCATATCCATGATTAGCTGCTTTTCCAGTTGTCAGTTCCAATAGAACAACCCTGAAGTTGTATACTTAAATCTTCAGTGATTTTTCCTGTTTGAATATGCTATGCATTTGAAGCTGAAAGGTACCAATGGAATGTAACTTATTTATGTAGGTCAGAAATTTAATTGGGTAGGTTCAGCTGGAGCAATATGGCCGACTGAACTGAAGATAGATTATGGGATTTCAAAGTATTCTTTTGGATAATAACTTGAGATAGAACAGGTGGTGGTATGCTAAAATTCTTTCATATATTACATAATGGTGATCCAGTGTGAACATCTCTTTATTTCACATATAGTAGTATTATTATACAACTAGTTACATGAAGAAATTATTCACTTCTCTTGAAGGTCAAAAATCATTTCTCACTTCTGAGCTATTTGGAAGTTGAAGTGGAACCAAAATCTGATCATTCCATGCTCTCGAGTTACAAGAATCTAAAGTAGTTGTTCTTTTATTTTCACCAACATCAGATTCTAACTTTGTAGAAACTGATGTTGTTTATCTTCTTCCTGTATCAATTGAAAGGATTTACCTCAACTGTGAGGTCAGTGATGCTATAAATCATCATTAATATCCAATCTAGTTACATGAAGAAATTATTCACTTTTCGTGAAGGTCAAAAATCATTTCTCACTTCTGAGCTATTTGAAAGCTGAAGTGGAAGCAAAATCTAGTCATTCCATGCTCTCAAGTCACAAGAATCTAAAGCAGTTGTTCTTTTACTTCCATTAACACCAAATTCTAACTTTGCAGAAACTGATGTTGTTTGTCTTCTTCCTGCATCACCTGAAAGGATTTACTTCAACTGTGAGGTCAATGATGCTATAAATCATCATCAATATCCAATCTAGTTACATGAAGAAATTATTCACTTCTTGTGAAGGTCAAGAATCATTTCTCACTTATGAGCTATTTGGAAGTTGAAGTGGAACCAAAATAAGAATATAAAGCAGTTTTCTTTTACTTCCACGGACACTAGATTTTTAACTTTGTAGAAACTGATGTTGTTTGTCTTCTTCCTGCATCACCTGAAAGGATTTACTTCAACTGTGAGGTCAATAATGCTATAAATCATCATTAATATCCAATCTAGCTACAAGAAGAAATTATTCACTTCTCCTGAAGGTCAAAAATCATTTCTCACTTCTGAGCTATTTGGAAGTTGAAGTGGAACCAAAATCTGATCATTCCATGCTCTCAAGCCACAGGAATCTAAAGCAGTTGTTCTTTTACTTCCACCAACACCATATTCTAACTTTGTAGAAATTGATGTTGTTTGTCTTCTTCCTGCATCACCTGAAAGGATTTACTTCAACTGTGAGGTCAATGATGCTATAAATCATCATCAATATCCAATTTAGTCACATGAAGAAATTATTCACTTCTTGTGAAGGTCAAGAATCATTTCTCACTTCTAAGCTATTTGCAGGTTGAAGTGGAAACAAAATCTGATCATTCCATGCTCTCAAGTCACAAGAATCTAGAGCAGTTGTTCTTTTACTTCCACCGACACCAGATTCTAACTTTGTAGAAACTAATGTTGTTTGTCTTCTTCCTACATCACCTGAAAGGATTTACTTCAATTGTGAGGTCAATGATGCTATAAATCATCATCAATATCCAATCTACTTTCCCTCTTGGAATTCTTTAACAGAGGGACAACATGAAAGATTCCAGGACTCCTTTCTCCATAACCAAATGGGTCCCTGCAACGAAGCAATATTTGCAGAACCTCCTTCATAGAAGGCCTACTGGCTGGTAGTATTGCAGTACACATCACACCAAGCTTGAACACGCCGCATATTTCATCCATATAGCATGCTTCCTTAATTTCGTCATCTAGAACTTCTTCTACATCTCCACCCAACTGCACATGGCGACATGCCCAATCTGCGAGAGATGAGTGTTCATCTCCGTAATTTGCTTCTTTTGCAGTTGTTAGTTCCAGCAACACCACCCCAAAGCTATACACATCGATCATTTCATTGATTTTTCCTGTTTGAATATATTCTGCATTTCAAAGTGAAAACTCATGTTAGATTGAAAGCTATATAAGCATATAAAGACATAAAAGATATATAAATATGGTGCAAGTAATTCACCTGGAGCAATATAGCCAAATGATCCAGCTACACCTGACATGGTGAGTTCACTTGGCTTGATCAACATTCTTGCTAGACCAAAGTCTGCGACTTTTGCATTGAATTCCGAATCCAAAAGGATGTTACTTATTTTAATATCACGATGAATGACCGGAGGGAAGCAATCATTGTGCATATAGGTTAGACCTTGTGCAGCTCCTATGGCTATCTGCAATCTTTTTGGCCAATCAAGAATAACATTATGGTTTAACCTATTCTTCTTGCTCAACCAACGGTCAAGGCTATTGTTTTCTAGATATTCATACACAAGCATCAAAGAATCCTCGCTTGAAATACAACACAACAGCTTCACAATATTGTTGTGACGAATATTGCTCAAAATCTTAACTTCTGCTAGGAATGCATCCTCAAGTTTCTGATCCCACTTCTTGTTGTTCATTATCCTCTTTACAGCAACATAGCCTAAACCGTCTATAGGGACTTGATATACTGTACCAAACCCACCTCTGCCTATAATATTGTCATCTGTCAGTGATGATACAATGTTCATTCCACTGAAACTAAACCTGTGAAAGGAAGTCAACTTCCATGAAGTTTCTAGTTCTTGCTTTCTTGATTTGTATACTCTAATAATTAAGAGTAAACTCAAGAAGGTTGCTAAAGAGGCCACTATCACTAGGCCTATGATCAAAGCAAGAGACACAGATGATCTGTTGCTTGATCTTTGAAGGTCAGAACCAGAATTGCACAAGGGAAGGTTTAACCTTTTGGTATTAGCACAGAGACCAGAATTGTTTAGAAAGCTATCGGAATAGACAAGGTTTTCAAATTCACGAGGAATCTTCCCAGTGAAAAAATTTGAGGAGAGATTGAGGTTTGTGAGGGTCATTGACAATTTACCAAGTTGAGGTGGAACATGACCGGAGAGCTGATTATTTGACAAATCTAATTGTCCTAGGACAGGTAAGCTATCAAAAGAATATGGGATTTGTCCAGAGAGTTGATTGTGGCTTAAATTTAGGGCATTGAGAGATTTCCAAGATATGATTTCTGATGGAAGTGGCCCTGTTAGCTGGTTTTGATCAAGCAACAATTTTGTTAGCTTAGGAAGAGTCGTAAGCTCTTGCGGAATACTTCCATTGAAGAAATTCTTACTAGCTTTAAACTCGATCAGATTCTTCCAGGTAGATACTCCTGTCGGAATTCTACCAGAGAATTGATTGTTGCTGATGGACAAACTTGAAAGATTCCAAGCCAATCTTTGAGGTAGTTCGCCAGTGAACTCGTTGTTGTTGACCATTAAAGCCACCAAATTCTGTGATGTCCAAAGGCCGCCAGGGATTTTGCCGAAAAAACTATTATTATCAAGAAACAAGTATTGCAGGCTATTGCAGCTCCCTAGTGATTCTGACAGCTCCCCACTTAGATTGTTGTCATTAGCACTTACACCAACTAACTTGCCCTTGTAACATAAATCCTCTGGCAATTTTCCTGTCAATTGATTGGTTGCAACTTGGAAGGTTTCGAGTGGCGAATAACGACCGAAGTAAGGAGGAAGAGTGCCTGATAGATGGTTTTGGAAAACCATGAAATCTACTAGAGCTGGTAGATGAGCAAGGCTTTCAGGTATCTCTCCTGATAGTTGATTCATATCCAAACTCAAGCCTGTCAGTTTTTTGAGCTTTCCTAAACCGTCTGGGATTTTTCCAGTAAGAATGTTGCGTGAAACATCGAGTATAGTCAGATTCAAAGCTTCAATTTTTGTAGGTATTTCCCCAGATAGGCTGTTTTTCCAAAGATACAATATGCTGAGATTCTTCAGAGAAAACACACCACTGGGGATTTGCCCACTTAAGCCATTCTGTGATAAATCCAATTCCACCAAATTGACCAGTTCTCCAATACTTTCTGGAATTTTCCCAATCAAATTCTTGTTTCCCCACAAGTATAGCAATTCAAGATTGGACAAGTAGCCTATTTCATCAGGGATACTGCCGCTAAACTCACACATGTGAAGTTGAAGACTTCTCAGCTCCTTCAACCTTCCGATGCCGGCTGGTATGCTGCCAGAGAATTCGTTTTCACCAAGATTAAGGAAACGCAGTTTGGCTAATCGGTCAATGTCATTTGGAATCGGACCCGAAAAGTTGTTCAGGGAGAGGTCTAGGTACTCAAGCTTGGAGCAATTGTAGAGAAATTTTGGGAACTCCCCAGGGAAATAATTAAGCTGAAAATCAATAAGGGTGAGATTTCTAAGGTCACAGAGGAAAGGAGGCATCGTTTTGGTGATGTTCCAGTCACCAAAATCTAATTTTGTGACAGAATCATGGGTGCAGTTGATGCCAGGCCAAGAACAATGAGAGGAATCCGATGGGGCCCACTGATCGAGGAATGGATGAAGGTGTTGTTTTATGTTCAGTAGGACTGCATGTTCTTGATCATAGAGATGAGACATATTAGTCTCAGCATCACTTAGAACAGCAAAAAAGCAACAGAAGAAGAAGAAAATGGAGTATAAGTAATCTGGCATTTTGGCAAGCAATTGGGTTTGCTTACAAGTTATTGTTTTACTCACCAAATTATTGCTCCAAGAAGATGAAGATATAAGAGATGCACCTGCACGTTACAATCATCGAACTTGCCTGACGACTTGGAAAAGAGAATCAACGCCATTCGAGTGGGCCCCTACTGGAAAGTGAAAGATAAACCAAAGTCCAAAATCATCATTAATTGTTTGATTGATGCTGGCTGGGCAACTGATAATGGCCATCATAAGCATATTTCCTGTTGAACGGAAAGGTGCAGAAAGAAAGTAAATCCTTTGAAGGAAGGATAACATGGAGTTTTTATCCTTGTTACTGATAGAGAGAGATCGAATGGAATCTCGGCACTCCCAAGTTTGACTTCAAACGTGCAAACCCACGTGGAGTCAGGTTACAGGGAATTATTTAGTGATGTGACGTGAATATAGGTTTTTTTTAAAAGGGAAAACATATTGAAGGTACCTATACTTTCTCTCAATTTTTAATTTGGTACCTATGTGTTTTTTCCCTTTAATTAAACATTTAATTTTATCTTTTTAGCAACATTAGCTCTTATAACTTTGTTCTATTGATATTTTTAGTCTTTACATAAGGATTAATGATGTTAATAGAGGAAAAATAAAGATTTAGTTAAGAATAAAAAACATATAGATACCAAATTAAAAATTAAAAAAAAGTATAGTTACTTCCAATATGATTTTCCCTTTTTAAAAAACCTACAGGGCATGCCTCTTCTATAGATTCAAATTTATAATCTTAATTTTTTTTAAATATAGGTAATTATGAAGCAACTTGGGAGTTGGAATCCGCGTTTGATGACAACGAACCCCAGATGAGTGAAGCCCGCATGTTTGTTAAAAAAAGTCAAGTGGGCCCATAGCACGCCTTTGTTGAAGTTGAAGGCATCACGTCTGGGAAATTTCCACCCAAACACACCCGTAAGCGGGGGCAGTGGAAGACTTGACTTGCGCAAAAAGCCAACAACCCATCTGTGATGTGATTCCTCAGCTGCAAATTTTCTGCTTTCGTTATTAAGCATAGTTTTTTGAATATATTAACTAATTAAATACTATACTTACGAATTGAATAATTTGAAGTGATTAAAAAAAAATACTAAATTATTTTAAAATATTTATATTTATTTTTTAAAATTAATTTATACCACTTACTAATTAATATATAATCTAATAAAACATATTAGTATTTTAGAGATATTCCTTCTGTTTCTTATTATAAGATCATTTTAATTAAACTGCGTCAATTAAAAAAATAATTAAAATTAGTCAGAAGCAATTAATATGTAGCAAATGTAATTTTTTTCAAATATACCCTTATATGTAAATGGGCAAATGTGAGAGAGTAATAGTGAGATAAATGAAAAAAGAGAATATATTAAATACATTAAATTAAGGATAACATAGGTAATAATATATTAAATGCTCAGACAAACTTAAAGAGAGTCTTATAAAAAGAGTCAACCCATTCAAGAAATATATCTTATAATAAGGAACGAAAGGAGTATTATGTAACACATGCTATAATTAAGTAATTTAATAACTTTCGTAATTTTTTCAAATGATTCAGTTGGTTCTTATATTAGTTATTAAGAATGGAGGTATTAGTTTTTATCTTAAATATAAAATTTTAATCTATTTTATGATTTTACAATTTTATTTTTATTATTTTTTTCAAATTAATTTATTTAGTTTATAAATTGGTAGATAACATAATGTTATATTGGATATTTTAGGAATATCATATCAATTTGTTAGTTAAATAACTTGCAGGAGTATTAAATTTTTCTAAAGACTAATAAATTGATTGGAAAATTGTTTAAACATCTCCTATTGCAAAATTTATTGCCCAACAGTATTTAAAAATTCAGGTTTTTGAGTGGGCACAGCTCTTTTTCAGTTGTGTGTAACATATTTTAAACTATGCAAACAGTTAAAAATATGTTGTATACATCTAAAGAATAGTTGGGGCTAAAAATATCTTGTCATTAGCTTTTTAAACAAATTTCAAATACATAAATGGAGAGTTTTATTTTAACAATTTTCTTAAATTAATCAAACGATGATACCTAAAGTGTTCCCATTTTAATAAATAATATGATTTTTCCTCTTATTCTGTCTCTAAATAAAGCATTGGATGATAAGGAATACTCCTAATTTCTTCATCCATCAATTTGATTTTTCAAAACCCAGAAGCAATGCTGATTAATACGAAGAATCGTGCATGAGAATTGTGGAAGAAAATTTATTATTTTGACAAAATCATGAATTTAAAATTTACAAAGAATGGCCAATATCTTTATAAAATCCAAATGGATAAAATTTCCTTTGTGATTGGTAACATGGTTGTAAATTTTGTAAGATAGGTTGTAAATTTCGGAAGATTAACTGTAATTTTTAAAAGACTACTTGCAAGTCAGTTTGCAAATTATGAAATGGGTGTAAATAATATCATACCATTAGCTAACAGTGGATTTTGAAGCCGCCCTTATGAGTTGTGATATTTAGTGAGGTTATCTGGCTGAATTAAATGATATTACATCAATTAAATTTTAATTCAATATCAATTAAATTAGTTTTAATTAAATAGAAGAACATGTTTAAAATTGATTTTATCCAAAACGAACATATCTTATTAAATTAAATTATTAGAAGTGATTGAAAAACATTCCTAACATCTATCACAATTTCACCATGAATGGAATCATTGATATTGTAATTTAAAAGATTAAACATATATATCCTCAAATAAGTCCAATCGAATTATTTATAGCTGAAAATGATACTGTTCTGATCATAAATTATATTATAAAATAAATCTTATATTTAGAATTGGAAAAATATATTGGATAGGTTTTGTTTGGAAATTGATTGATACCAATGGTCTCCTTCGCAATGCAAGAATGGGTCTGGATCCTCTCAAAATCCTTATTTCTTCTTGTTTTTTTTTTAAAATCTCATTTCCACTGCTAGACCAAATAACAGATAGTTCAGATTTTATATTTTAAAAAGTAGATATCCACCTTCTGTCTTCTATTTATGTAATGTTATAATAACAGTTTTATAAAATATGAAATCTCAACCATTTATTATTTGATGTAATGGTAGAAATCAGATACTGAGGAAAAAAAGAGAGAGAAGAATTTTGAGAGTATCCAAACCCATGCAACAACTCAAGCATTAGTTTTCTCTATTGCAATTAAATGATTATGGGCTTGTTTGGGTGCCCTCCAAAACTATGGTTTGGGTGGAATATCACCCAAACAACATCAATTTTGGAAAAATAATCCGAAACTATGGTTTAGGCTAAAAACACTATGATTTCAAGAAAAGTGAATCTATTCTACTTTTGATTCAAATTAGAGAGTATGATTGTGCCTGTCAGAGTAGATGTCAACAATAACATGACTTTAACATCATTTAATTATTTTTTTATAAACATATTTAATCTTATATCTTATAAATATATATACACATATTAATATTTATTAATTATATTATCTTATGTATTATTAATTATGTTGGTAAAAAATATATTATTAACAATTTTATTCCTTCAAATTAAAATATATCATAAATCTATCTTTTATGTAATTATCATATTAACGTATGTCTTTTTTAGTAATTTGTATATATAAGAAGTGTTTCTGATAACAACTATCCAAACACTCTCACTTATCCAAATTATTTTTTTACAAAATCTGTTCTTTCTAAAATCTATTTTTCAGAAGTTATTTTCTAAACTATGGTTTGGTTTCATCCAATAACTCCATGTGGTAAGTCTGCTCCCGAGCAAGACCACTGTCAGCTTAGCCCCACTTGCTGCCACGATTGGAAGGTGTCAAAGTGGTTTGCTAGATTGCAATATTCTCTCCAATCTTTCTTGTTTTTTTAAAAAAAAATATAAACTTCAATTTTTTACCTGGATTGTATAAGCTACACTTTTAAAATTTTTAAATATTTTATATATTTTTTAATTAATTGTATGTCTCTCTTATCTTTGTTTTTCTACTTATTCTCTCTTTCACTCACACCCTCCGTAAATAAAAATATATATTTTTATATATTTATTATTTTTAATCAATATAACAGGAGAAGTATCGCTGGGCTTTTGCCTTTTAATTGGTTAAAGCCTCAACATAAATTGGTAGTTGTAATGAAACTTCTTAATTCTTAGTATGTATTACAACATTCTAACAAAAGCAACATTTTATTAATACTAAAGAATGAATACAAAGTATCTAAAAGAAAATAGAACAGTAGCAACCAGAAATAAAAAAAATCCAAAATACAAACTGAGCAAAAAAATACAGAAAAAGAAAAAGAACAAGAAGAACAAGAATAAATTGAGAATAAATTCCTAATTAAAAATTTAATTAGTAAATGTTACTTAAGAATTTCGTGCAACTTAATTTTTTCAGTGCACAACATATTTTCAGTGCACAACTTAACTTCTTTTACATGCAAATATAGTCTATGATGCCAGTAACCAATTTCAGAACGAGAGAGGATACAAAAACGCAATACACAATTTAGAAATACAAATAACCAAAAAAGAAAGACAAGGAAAGAGAGAGAACAGAGAACAAATGAATGAGGAGGAGGCGAAGGTGAAGATTATCGGCTCTCTCTACAGTCACCAAACCCTCTTCTTCTTCTTCGAACATCTACACTATCTTCGTGGTCTCAAGCCTCCTTTGTCGATCCCAAGCCTTTCACCATCTCTACCCTCTCCTTCGATCATCTCTGTTCTCTCCTCCACCCATCTCTCTTCCCACTCGCTGAACTCGCCGCTCTTCTTCGCCGGTCACTCCGTCTCTGCTCGCCTCTCTTTGTTCCGTACCTGCGTTTCTTTTTGTTTTTTTGTTTTTCCACATAGATGTCCGATTTAATATGCCAAGTCATCTAACTTAAAAATGACAACTCATTCTTTTTTGCCACCTAATCATGCCACATGATCATCATTAACACCGATAGTGCACATCAGCACCATTAACAAGCAGAAGGACTAACAGTTTAAGTTAACCGTTCTAAATTTGAGGGACCAGTTCTTTAAAAAACAAACTTCAGGGACCTTGACCAAAACTATAGGGCCTGGAACCTGGGTTTCCCCTTTTTTATTTGTTACTGGCATAGGGAGATCGAATGGAATCTGGTCTCGGCACTCCAAGTTTGAATTCAAAGGTTCAAGCCCACGTGAAATCAAATTATTGGGAATTATTTATTGATGTGATA